CGGGGTGGCGCCACAACCTCCCCATTGACCCTGCCTTGAGTGTGATAGGGGGTGGTGCCCCAACTCCCCAATCGGCCCTACCATGAGCGTGACTGAGGGTGGCATCGCAACCTCCCGATCCGCCCTGCTCTGTGCATGACAGGGGGCGGCGCCCCAACTCCCCAATCGGCCCTGCTCTGAGCCCGACCAGGGGCTGCACCTGGGGATTGGGCGTGCCCTCTGCCACCTGGGAGCAGGCCTAAGCCAGCAGGTCGTTATCTCCTGAGGGGTCCCAGACTGCAAGAGGGCACAGGACGGGCTGAGGGACCCCCCCCACCCAGTGCACAAATTTTTGTGCACCGGGCCTCTAGTACAATTATAAATGTGAATTTCCAACTGTGGTAAGTATTATCAAAGAGTTTTATGCTCACTAGGGAAAACTTTCCCAGAAGAATGATGATGGTTGGTGCATCAGTTAAGATTTGATGAAACAGAAAACACTGAAGCATTGGAAACAGAGGGACTCGAAAACAGGGAAATGGCTAGTCAGTGAGAGAAGAACTGAGAACCAAATAGGGGACAGTGAAGCAACTCAGATATTAACAACAGTCAGAAGTCACACCCAACCTTGGGCTGGAAGGACAGAGAGAGGATGTATATCAGTAGAGGCCAGGGCTGGAGCATCAGGAAGAAGCTGGAAGCATGGTGGGCCTGTCCTGTGAGAAGCATGGAGCCATGGCGGAGAAACAGTGGCTGCCAGACTTGTTGTCCAAGATGGAGGAGAAAAGGAAGAATACCCTGGTTCCTAGTCCTCTCCCCTTTCTCACCAAAGCTTCATGGAGGCCAAACCCAGCAGAAAGTCCGCTGACAGTGAAGCCCTGTAAATACAGCCGGTAGAGGTAAGCCTTCTCTTAACATAGTGCAGGGGAAGGGCCCAAAAATGTTTGAGGGAAACAAGCTAAGGCCTGGCACAAGCAGAGGTCTGAAGAATGGGGGTAGGGATAGGTATGCTTGAGGAGAAATGTGTTGGGGGAGGAGGCCCATGCACAAAGGCTATGCAGTGGACAGAGTATGGCATGTATGAAGGAGTGAAAGATGGCCAGCCCAGCTAATGCAGAATGCAGGGTAGACGTAGGGCTGGTGAGATAGGGACCAGGCCAGAAGTGGCTTTGTAGGTCACATCAAGGAATCTGTCCTTATTCTAGGAGCTACTGAAACCATTGAGTTTTAAGGAGGCAGTTGATAGAATCAGATTTGTATTTCAAAACAATCATTTATCCTTCTCCCACCTCCCAAGACATTCACATAACAACTACAACGTGCCAGAAATTCTACTAGGTACAAGACACACATATAAAAAGAATATAGTATATCTGTGCCTCTGTAAGGTCCACCAGTAAGTATGTAGTGTGCAGTATTATTAAAGACCTTTTAAGTATCCTTCTTTCAGCATTTATCATCTGATTATCATGAGGAATGTGAAATTTATCTTCATAGACTTAACTCCTTGCTCAGTACATTTGTTCATCATCCTACTATTTTACTTTTTGCATTTATATGCTTCCATTAATCATTTACCCAACTTTGTCTTTTCAGCTGAAGATCACTAATTTTTTTCCCATCCATTTATCTTTATATGGTTATCTCACTTCCAAGGTAATTTTAGTTCTTTTCCCCCACCTGATTCAACTGTTATAAATTTCCTGCATTATAGAAACCTGAAATGCACAAATAACTCTCTCTGAGAAGAATTTCATGGTTTTTAAATAAGTATATTCATTTTATGACAACTACTCTCATGAAAAATGGAATCATTCAGGATATTGCACCTGGTTAAGTTTATTGTTTTCCCAAATTCTAAAGACAGATCTATCAGGTGATTTGGAAAGCTTTGCTATGGATCTTCATCAAAAGCTTTCTGAAAGCTGAAAATGCATTTACTATTTTCATTTCTTCTACACGCTTGTTTAGCATCTTCATATTAGACAGGAATGATTTCTCTAAATTATATATTCTCCAAACTGATTACCTTCCGTCTGCCATTTTTTCCTCTTTTCAGCTGCCCTAACCTTTGCTTTGGAGGTAAAGAGAGACTCACTGGGCTCTATAAGGCAGACTACCTCTGAATCAAGCTCAGTCTTGGGCAACTGACCATGGCTAATCTTATGATGAAGGCCCTTCTATTTAAATCCTATTTCTCCTTAGTTTCAGAGCTCTCCTTGACTCTATTCTAAAATGATTCCACTTTCACCACTCCCAAACTGTCTCCTAATTATCAAAATACCATTCATAGTCCAGTTTTTGTTAGCAGCAGTAGGATTTAATGGGACAAGTATAGATTCTACAAGCAGAAGACTATGGCTCTTTGTATATGGCAAAAATATGTCAGATTCTAGGCATCATCTCCTCAAATAGCTCTTTAATTGTAAGAGTGTGTTAAAAAAAACTGAAGGAAGCCTGATATAAACTATTTCTCTTTCAAAATCAGATCCTTTCAAAAATGAGGGAAGCAAGAGTGGAGAGAAAGAAAGGTGCTACCAGAGTCTAACAAAAAGATAAAGTCCAGCCCTAGCTGGTTTGGCTCAGTGGAAAGAGCATAGGCCTTCGGACAGAAGGGTCCCGTGTTCGAAAAAAGATAAAGTCCAGAATCTAGGAGATGAATTCTTCTGACTTCATAATTTTGGGTACAGCTGACCCTATTTAAAGCCCTTAGCAGGGAACTCTTTCCCCACATGGGAGAATTTGCTTCCCTTTCACTAATGAATAAATTTCAGGTTTATTCATTACTCCCACATGGGAGTCTGTGCTGTGAGATTCTTTCCCCTTCCCCACGTGGGAGTCTGTACTTGTTCTTCAATAAATTTCCACCTTTGCTGTAAAAAATAAAAAAATAAAGCCTTTAGCAGTTGCCAGTTCAAACTGCCAATCGGAAGTTGCCAACTGATACCTTATAACCCTCTGAAAGGAATATACTCATTCTAATTAAGAGTTCCAAATTAACATTTAGAAATTCTCCCCAATTGTTAGCTGACTGTCCTTCAGGGATTTATTACTTCTTATTTTTCAGGCAGGTCTGATAATATCATGACATCTAATGCCTTTCACCACAATTCCCTCTGGTACCTGCATATTAAGCTACACAAACCTGAAGTGCTTCTGCTTCTATTTATACTGAACACATGCCGGTTTCAGCATCTCTTCTGCCCATCCACTGTGTACTATATCCCAAGGACCCAAAAGATACTTTTCTAATTCTGTCTCCATTTCAGAATAAGAAGTCCATATTCTCCCTTCTTCTTTGATAGTAACATATTTATGCCAATGTACTGACTTAAGAGTTATTTGGATTTTTAACATTCTGTCTCTAATCACAGGAGGAAAGACTAGTCTCTTATAAAGGACAATTGCTTTCAAATGTCTGAGTGCAAAGGGAGTAGGCTCAGGATAAAATGAACATTAAAAAGCTTGTTTTTAAACTTAAAACTCATTTCATAGTTTTATTTAAAATGGAGAACAAGGGAAAGAGCTAGACAGAACAGCTGGGTGCCAGCTGGTCCCAAGGCCTTTCCTGCTACCTCAGAACTCCCAGATTCAGAGGAAAGTAACACTCAGGATCTATTTAAAACTGTGTTTATGTGATATTTATATGATCTGTTTGTCTTAGCATTCACACAGTAATGATTATGTATGCTTTAATATGTCATATTAATTTACTGTGAATTTTATTTGATAAGCACTATGAATTTTATTTGATAAGCACCATAAATTCTAGAGATATATAGTTGTCTATAGAGTTTCCAACTGAAATATTAATCATTGCCTGAAATGAACATTTTAAAAAATCTGAACCTGAAATTTATTCATTAGTGAAAGGGAAGCAAATTATCATCACCAAACCTGCATATTGCTAATAGAACGAAAATAAACTTGCCTTGTCTCTTTTGGTGAAGGTGAGCACATTTTTAGTATTGACTTTGTCATCTCTTGCAAGATAATTCTCTAATGTTTGTTTAAGCCTAATATCTAATTTATTTGCACCTCAGCTATCACATTTAATGGGATTCTCATGAGGAATCTTTGCTTATTATTTTTAAAGAATAAACACAAGTACCTCATTTATCCTATGAACTCTTTTATTTTCCAAGTGAAATAAGCAAGGCAGTGACCAAGTGTCTGATTTTGCCCCAAACTTGCCTTGGATTTCTAATAAGGTAGAAAGTAGGATTTATGCAAGCTATTGGTTAAATTATTCTTTTCAATATTCCCTGATACTCAATTTAAGAAAAAAAAATCCCCTTATAAACAAACATTCATCAAACAGATTTAAATTTTTTCTTGTGGTAAGTAAGACTGTGGACTGACCACCTAAAAGGTATTTATAACCCTTTTCTCTTAACTTCTTTTTCTACAAAGGCTGAAAAACAAAAAGCGAGTCCCCATACTTCCTTGCTGGTAGTGGAGACCATATGACTTAGTTCTAACAAATGAGATATAAGTCAAAATCCCTGGGTGGAGCTTACAGTAAAGAATTTTAAAAGGACAAAACTTGACTGACATGTGCCTCTGGCATGCCTTCTATCTCATCCTTTTTCTTGAAAGGTGGATATCTAGGGGTGCACCAGATAGTTTGCAACCATGAGAATAAAACCCCCATGCTAAGGATGATGAAGGAGGAAGCCAGTAAGAGCCAGCTCCTTGATTATATACTAACTAAGGGCTTATCACACAAGACAAGTAAGTCTCTTTTTTGCTTAAGCCACATTCATTAGATTTGCTAATACTTCCAGCTAATGCATTACAACTGTTCCATCTCCACCCCCAACATTTGTGCAAGTACTACAAATCTAAAGCTTTCCATCTGTTATTGATCTTCCCTATTAATGGCATGATAAAGTACATTATAATGCTTCAAAAACTAAAAGATATACTTAAAATATGAAAGAAATTAAGTTTCTTTCATTCTGTACACTAAAATTAGTGACTGAGTAAATTTTAACATTTAAAAAAACTAATTTAAACCTGAAGATTGTATATACAAAGATAGCTTCCAAAATCATTGAATACTTTAGCATACTTATTTTTAATGATACATTTTCCATCCAAATTTATAATATATTCCAAATTTTCAAATCCTATCCTACAATATTTTATGTAGTCTTGAAGAGCACTCTAATTCTCCTCCCTGGTTATTAAATTCAGACATATGTAATTTAATGCCTGAAGACACTTAACTGTTGTTGACATTTTCGACACCAGATGTAATTAGTAACCTAGAAATTATTTTTCCAAAACTAGCTATGACATGTGCTAAGATCTAAAATTATGACTCAAGATTAACGTCTTACTAATTTTTGTTATAAAATATTAAAGCTGTCTAATCTGATATAAGGGAAACGGAAAATGCCAATAGCAATGGCAAGTTATGACTATTTCATACCCAGACAAAACCATAATGCTTTTTCATGTATTTCTATATTTCAGAACAAACTGTAAAGCTGGTTATTTTATCCCTCTGGGGAGCTGCTTCAAATTGACTGAGATGTAACTTAAAGTTAAGGCATGCACAACCACCAAAAAGGAGGAGAATTTCCTAAAACCACTATTTTGACCATGTCATTTTCATGTTCAAAATCTTCAATAGCTCCCAAATACTTTCATAAATTCAAACTCTGTGGGTCAGCCCATCTTCTTTCTAGCTTTACTTCCCCTTACATTCCCACCCTGATCAAAATTACTCTACTTATTCCAAAATAATTTCACACTGCTCAATGTTATATAAGGGTATACACAATAGTTATTACATAGAGACACTGGAAACAATTTAAAAGTCAAGGATACAGCTACAAAAATACCACATAACCTTCAAAAGTCAATATGCTTAGGGGCCTATTTAAAAAAATAAAGAATTGTGACTATTTTTAAAAATGCTATGAAGAATAATATACTATTCTAGAAATACCATAAAGCACATTACTACTACTTTTAAACAGCTATGTAAACATATTTTAAAAGTACCTATCCACCAATATACTGAAGACATAATGGAGAAATAGTTTTCCTAAATATTGGCTATACTGCTACCAAGAGCTCAATGTGATAGAAACAGCTAAATATGTAAGTTATTAAATACATCCTTAAATAATACAACTATACAGTGGGGCCTTGACTTACGAGTTTAATTCGTTCCGTGATGGAGCTCGTAACTCAAATTACTCGTATATCAAATCAAAAAGTGAACGAGTGAGACACGTGATGCTGGGCTGATGTTGTGGCGTTCACTGTGACGTTAGCTGCGCCAAATACGGTGGGGTATCTGAAGCTGGCTCGTAACCCGAAATTTAGCTCGCAACTCAAAGCAAAAAATCGGCTGAAAGACGGCTTGTATCTCGAAAAACTCGTTAGTCGGGACACTCGTAAGTCAAGGCCCCACTGTAATTTATTTCTGCAAAAAACTATTGATGTGTTAAATAGATCTAATATTTAAAAAGACTAGAAGTAACCCAGAGAAGTTTGGGAAGTCCAAGAAGCATTCTGGAGTTTTATTATTACCAAATGCATAATATTTCAATATATGCTTAGTATATGAAATAACTATTCTTAAAAATCAAGAAAGGCTACATGTTCTTTTATGGCATAAATTTTTTTTCAACTTCAGACATAAAATCCTGGGATTTTATTTCCAATGCAAAACTTCACGGGCTTAATATAGCAATTTTGAAGACAACATTTTGATAAATGCTCTAAATCTTTAATAAACTACTAGATTTATGCAAATTCCAAGAAATGTATCATAATTCCTATTAAAACTTCTATGGGAAACATTCAGAAATACCAACTCAAATTTGGAAAAAAATTAGTGACAATTTTTGTTTATTTAAGAACTCAAAGAACCCAACAAGTCCAATTAAAACATGTTGAGTACAAAGCAATTTTTTGTTTTTTTAAATCCAGCACTTAAAATATTTTAAAAGCCTATTTTTCCCCCAAAGTTTTACAATTTAGGTGACAATTTCTTTTGAGATATCAAAAAAAAAACCAGAACAGTAAGTCCTTCACACACCAAAAGTATATCCCAAATCTATTCTTTCCATTTCCTCAGCTACCACCTCCTGAATGCCTCCTGATCTCTCTTAGGTTTACTCTCATCCTCCTACAATCCTTTCTGTATACAGGAAGAACATTTTTTTTTTTTTTTTACAAAATGTACACAAGATCTTGTTACTCCCTATCTTAAAACTATCCCACCACAAAGAATAAAATCCAAAATCCTTGCCATGCCCTATATGAGTAAGTATGACTTCACCTCACTTATGGCTAGACTAGCCTTCTTTCTGTTACTCAAACACACCTGCCCTCACTTCTTCTGTACAGAAGGAAAATTAGGTTAGATATCTTATTCAAGCAAGCAATCTGAATACTATAGTTTTATGGGATCCATTTCATCACTGATGTTTTATTATAAAAAGATGAATAAAAGCTGTTCATAATTATTTGCACACGACCAAAAATAACTAAGAATATAGAAATATTAATAAAAGCATGTTTATAGAATACAAACTTTACAACTATGCAAATCAATTTTACCGTCTTAATAGAACTCCTTTGTTTTTCTTCCCAAACACCACTGCTCAACTCAAGTGTGCAATGAATATTTGCCTCTCTGTCATAGGATCCAAAAATGAGTAACCTGCAGTATAAAAATAAAACAAGATTATTGTACCAGTTATGTACATTAAAAATTTTCTTTCAAATCATTATACCAAGAAGTAATAAATTACTGTTACTATTGTAATTTTGGTAACAGAAAAACTTAAATCAAATACTTTGTATACCCTCTAGTGGAAAAGTGAAGTAAAGCTAAAGTTAGGTGAAATTCCAGGACAAGTTGTTTTTCAGCGGCTAAATCAAACAGAAAGTAATTTCTATTAATGAGATATAGTACAAATAGTTGCTTGTGAACACAAATACACACACACACACACACACACACACACACACACTTCCATCTACTAATGTGACCGAATTTCTTTAATTTCTTTAAGCCCATTTCTTCCTTTGAACAATTCAGGGGAAATATAGTAAAAAGATGCTTTTGAAAACAAATACACACACACACACACACACACACACACACACACACTTCCATCTACTAATGTGACCGAATTTCTTTAATTTCTTTAAGCCCATTTCTTCCTTTGAACAATTCAGGGGAAATATAGTATATAGTTCTTAAAGCCGTTGTAAGAGTAAAAGAAAACAAGGCATTTAGCATAGTGCCTAGCAAATAGTAAGTACTCAATAAATGTTTGTTATTTCTATTATCTTGAAAACAATTATCAAGGAATAACTGCATCGCCTCATTTTACTGCTTAATATTCAGATTTTAAAAGGAAATTGCAGGTCCAATCTTGAGATCATTAAGGCAGTTTTTATTATTGGAGGATAAAATGTTACCTACATGGTCCAACAACTTCTACATTATCTATCTTCTAAATCAGAACCTAAGTCTGCCAATATGTTTTAGTAGTAAGCTTGAGAACAACTTTAGCTGTTAATCAACATCTTGACTACCACTCCAAACTTTACCTCTACATGAATATCATGGGGGTAGGAGTAAGATAATGAAAGAAAAATGGATAAAACACATCAGAGCAATATGAGAAAATTGTTTCCTAAGGTTGAGACCTCAAGCAAATCATGTTTATGCCTCACAAACTGGCTTCATGAGCTAAAAAGCCTGAACAAAATCATGGCAAAAAGAAATCCATAAATTTAAATAAATTTTAATCTTAAAAGGAAATTTAAACAGTACTCAACAACCTACTGCCAAAAACATAAGAAGATTCAGAATTATAAAATACTGTTTAGGAAAATGAGAATTTTCATTTACCAAAGCTTTGCTGCCACCATCTGTTCAAAAGAGCAAAGTACCTAAGTAAGAGCCTTGACTACTGTGCAGAGAAGGCTAGCAGCTTCCGAATTCCCAATAGATATTAAATCTTCAGGATTCAGGAACAAGAAAACACAATTCTTGGATTGTGCAATAGTTCTTTGGATTAGACAATGGTTTCTTAAGATAGGACTAAAAAATAGGTAAATGGGACATCCTGAAATTAATATTTTTGTGCTTCAAAGGATACCACCAACCCACAAAATGAGAGAAAATCCTGTGGACCTGTGTTCTTGTTCAGGATCTTAAGTCTCAACAAGGAATTTATAGCAATGCATTATGAGGACCATCAAGCTAGATCTGGAAGGGCAATTTTTTTTTTTAATTCCAGCACTTAAAATATTTTAAAAGCCTATTTTTCCCCCAAGTTTTACAATTTAGGTGACAATCTCTTTTGAGATATCAAAAAAGAAACCAGAACATTAAGTCCTTCACACACCAAAAGTATATCCCAAATCTATTCTTTCTATTTCCTGAATATGTAGTCATGGGGAGGGGGGGGTAGGCTCCTCTGAGTTAAAAGAGGTCAGTGGCTGACTGATTGGGATGTAATCTCTGCATAAAAAATTGAGTTGCTCTAAATGAGAGGGAATCTATTGCCAAGCCCCGCAGATACTGCTCCCATCAGAGAAAAAAATTCCTCCGGAACCTCATATCCTTTCATTTTTAAATAGGAAACTGAGCTCCATCATAATCTTATGAGACCAATATCATATACGTGGTCCATTGTTGACCAAAATGTCACTATGCAGCATATGACTGTGCAGTACTTGACCATACACCCTCAATCTTGTGTAGAGGAGACTGCAAATAAATCCTGAATTCCTTTTAGTAAGTACGTTTCTGTACTTATAATAAAGCAATTCTGCAACTATTTGAGATGTTATTACAGAACTGAGCAAATGAGTACAAGTGCTGATGTTATTGGAGCTAGGGTTCAGAGGATATAAAAATATGGGAGGAAGAAGAACGAACCAAGGCAAGGAACAACTCTAGGATAAACTAGAATTGGAAGTATTGGGTGAGCTTATGATTTCTAAATTGTGTATGTGTATGCATATATGTATAAGTGTCTATACATATATGTATTTCACAACTCTGTCCGCTGAAGGGACCTCTGAGTATATGAAGTAGCAGTGAACAACCCAACATCCAGATCTTGATTTTTAATATCATTCTCTATTAAAAGGAACCAGGGCTCTTTGGTAAAATAGCTGATTCTAGGACTATGGCAAAGATACAAAATAAACCTGGAACAGCTTGTTATACCAGAAAGTAATGAAGAGCTAAAAAAAAAAAAAATTAAAAAAAAAAGACAGGCCCATGTCACAAGTATACCAGAAAGTAATGAAGAGCTAAAAAAAAAAAAAAAAATTAAAAAATTAAAAAAAAAAGACAGGCCCATGTCACAAACATACAGAGCCAAGTTTGAAGGGGTAGTTAGTGGCCAAATCAAGAACAATTTACAACAAAATAATTAAGAATAGCAAAGAATTATAACCATTGAAAAATACAGGAATCTATGAGTCTGTGCCGATAATAGATTAATTGGGGAATAAGGTAAGGATCTTGGTAATAGAGTGGAATGTCAACTGCTATAGTTTTCTGTATCTGTGTTACCATTACACATTTTTTTAAAGTGATGTATTTTTGGAACCCAGTAAAATAAAACAGGCATTCCAAAAGCTGCTGAGAAAATACAGGCTTTAGAACAGTGCAAGTGTGATTCACTGAAGAAGTGACCTTAATTAGAATCTTCTATCTATAATTAGGACAGGCTATATCCTAAATATACCACTTCTGAGTACAGAACTCTCACACCACAAAACCGTATAGGCCTTGCTTTCACTGACTATAATCTTTGTTTTAAAAATATAACTGGTTGATAAAACCAGCCAAAGAAAAGAAAATGTACTCATTGTTTTATTCAATGTCTTTTACATAAAGATTATGTGACAAATCCCTCCTAGAATTTGGGGCCAAATTTCTTTTCCCCTAAAGAACATGCACAGTTTATCAGAGAATGAGAGCTAAGTTATCCATTAAGTTTACTCTGCTGCCAGAAAACTGATCTATTCCCTATATGGTTGTTTTTAATTTATCTTTTCTACTTAATTGCACATGGGCATTGTTTTCTTTGCAAAATACTTCAAACCCTTTAAGACTATAAATTACAAATTTAAAATCAGTTTTAACAATATGATTGAACATTAATGTGCAATAATTAAATTTTCTAATAGAAGAACTACAAATGCATAAATTGAGGTCATTGGGAACTTTAAAAATCAACTTTAGTTCAATGCAAAAAAATGCAGTTAGAACCAATTTTTATAAACAAAATTGTGTTTCCACCCCCAAACTTGTAATTGGGATGTTCAAAACTCTACTTCAGATCATTAAAAAAGAACTCTCTTTATTACAGTCTGAGACCCCTGTAAGTTAATAAAATTCAAATTCCAGTTCTCACAACCAATTATGCAAAAAGAACAGGTCTGTCTAAAGATTTGTTTTCCTCTTGGTAAACACTATAATGATTACATTAAGGTATAATAATAGAAGCTACAGCTACTGAAGGCCTTCTATATAGTAGCCACTGTGGTTTATTTACCTATTCTGAGCACAATTACTGACAAGGTAGTAATCTTGCCCATTTTACAGATATGAAACTTGTCTAAGAATATCTAACAGTAAGGATACACAGCTAGGATGTAAAGACAGCACTTTCTAATTCAAAAGTTGGTATTATTTCCACTTCATGTTGCCTCCTGAAGCATAAAGTTTCCAGTTGAACAATAACTCCAATATTTTCAATAAACAAGTTTGTTTTCTATGAGTACTTCTAATTTTTTTCCTCACTGGCAAAGTTCACTCTCAAAGTTTTACAACAGGCAAGTTTGATGAATGAATGAATAAATAAGTAAATCTCCTTCAAGGCTATCTTTGCAGATTTGGGGATGAGTGGATGAGTAGGTAGATAGGAATTGACAACAGTATAGTCAAGAAATTTTGTGCAAAGCTTCCCTTCAAATGGTTAGAAGTTGCTATTATTATTTTGGAAAAGGTAATCCATTAAGTATGATTCTGATGCCTGTGGATCAATAAGAAAATTCACTGGGGAAAAAAAAGAAAGCATCACTTCAAAATTTCCTTAGACATAGACCACTTGAAAAATGTCCTAAATATTAATATAACATAATTATATACTTAGCCTCATGTCCCTGGGCCCAGCATGACCATTTGCATATTCGCCTTTTATTATTAAGATGTCATTTTACTGTACACTGAAGTTCCTTTTTACAAAATTTACAGATTTAGTCTTTCTTTGATAAAAGAATTCCTTTTCTACCAGCTTTCTGACATAACGGTGCACAATAACGAGTCACTCTAAGACAAACAAAAAATATTTATCATATTATTATTAAGGTATTCAAAATTAACCTATTTATTAGCAAGGACATAAATATATTAGGTACAAAAATATAACCTCTGTATCCAAGCACTTGTTTTTATTATGAGTTGGAAATAAAAATAGAAGTGATAAGTACCAAACAAGTGGTACAAACAAGTGTCACACAAATGTAGCAAAAGGACAGTATGCTTGTACTTGGAACGGTTAGGAGACACATTAAAGATGTAGCTTTTGAGGTGAACCAAGAAAGGCTGGTTTCAACGAGCAGAAAATGGGGTAGGGCCTTCAGTAGAGAAACAGTGGGGTGTACACACAAGGGCCTTGGTACTTTAAAATATCTAAGGCAGGGAATGGTGAACTGTGGTTGTCTATGGGCCAAATCCAGCTTACTGCTTATTTTTGTATGGCTTGTGGGCTACCAGTGGTTTTAAATGCTTGTGGGGGGAGGGGGAATATTTCATGCCACATAAAAATTATGAAACTCACATATATATTCATAATTATACATAAATATATATAATTTTATGAAGACACAACCATGCCACACCCATTTGTTAACCTATTGCTTATTTCTGACTGCTTTCACACTACAAGGCTGAGTTGAGTAGTTACAACAGAAACCATGTAAATCACAAAGCCTAAAATATTTACAGTCTGGCCCTTTAGAGAAAGTCTGCCATCCTCTTGACTTACGAAGACCTGTGTGGCTGAAATGAAATACTGTGAGTGAGGGGCTGAGCAAAGAAGTTAGAAAGGTCAGAGGGGTATGCAGGCCCTGGCAAGGATTTGAGTCTGTATTCTAGAGTAATGGGGGGAGGCTTTAAAGAATATTAAGAGAGTGACAATTAGACTTGCATTTTGAAAATCTCATTCTGGTTGTTATATTGATGACCACTGTTAAGAAATAAGTGTGGACGAAAGGGGCTCTGCAATAAATCTAACTGAAAGTAACCTCACAGGTGATCTGATCATAAATTCCTAACTGGGCAGGTCATCGTGGATAGCTAAGCCTTAGACCTATGAAAAGGTTTATCTTTGCCTTAAGCAAGCCCTGTCCATTGTTCTTGTGCATTTAGGTTAACACACCTTTGAAATGCCAGAGTAACCCTTTTTTTAGACCCCTCAGAAGCATAACTACCCTCAAGGGAGCACATAATCTTGTTAATTATTCTTGTCCTCTCCCACCTTCATATAATCTTCCTTACATTCCCTCCTTCATTTCAACTGTACAAAAGACTGCAAAACTGTCATTCTCCGGAGCATCTGAGATCTTGCTTCTAGCATGTCATTAGTTTGGCTCAAATAAACACTTATAAAAATTCTCTACAGGTTTGGATGTTCTTATGTCAACATAAGTAAGAAGGCTAGTGTAGTAAGCAATTCAAGAAACATATGAACACAGCTTAGACTATGGGGCTGGTACAATAAAATAAGGAGGCTGGACCAGATCCTTTCAGAAAGCTCTAAAATTCTAAGCATCATAGGGGTTTCCAAGTCTGATTTTTCAACTTCCCAGAGTATTTTCAATTATCACAAACAATTCTCAAAACTGTTATGCTATGAACACCTATAGATATAAGCCAGGTATGCCAACAGAGTATCATGCATCTAAAAAGTTTGGGAATCAGTAAAGAATAAATGCCACCCCCCCATTAGAATGTATGTGTGTGTGTGTATATATATATATATATATATACACACACACACACACATACACACATATATATATATATTTATTTTTGCAAACTGGAAAGGACTATTGTTTTAAAATTTACGATTAATTAATTTACAGATAATACAATATAAATCAACACAGAGGGAGAATAAACACAAATACTGCCTAAGCACATTTTACTGTACTTTCTTTCCCATAATGTAGGAATGACAAAACAAAGACCATACCTGCTGCATTCTAACAATGTAACTTTAAGACGGCCTTCAGTAAGTGCCCATTGTTGTATATGGATATGGTCTTCTTCATCTTCTTCAAATCCTTGCAAGGTTTGGAATGGAAAAAATGGCTTAAACCTGAAAAAATAAATATAAGTCTAAATTTCTGAGTAATACACACCACAGTTTAAAGCATAATAACAAAGCCTACCTGTAGGAAAACAACACAAAACAAAACAAATACCAAACACTGGCCAACAAAACCAGTGCTTACTACATGCCCCCAAACTGGCAGCAAATGTTGCCTTTTCTGCGGCACCAGACCTCCTGGCTCTTTGGCATGCCCTCATTGACAAGGCAGGACACTGAGAACAAAGAAAGAGAAAACCTAGAGTCTCCAGGTACCAGCACAGCTGGTTTCTAGTGAGGCCTCGCGCCTTAGCTTGTAGACAGCCATTTTCTTGCTGCATCCTCACATGACTTTTTTTTCTGTACACACAATTCCTGGTTTCTTTCCTCTTCTTTTTTTAAAAAAATATATTTTATTGATTTTTACAGAGAGGAAGGGAGAGGGATAGAGAGTTAGAAACATCGATGAGGGAGAAACACCGATCAGCTGCCTCCTGCACATCCCCAGTACCTACACACCCCCTACTGGGGATGTGCCCGCAACCAAGGTACATGCCCTTGACTGGAATCGAACCTGGGACCCTTCAGTCCACAGGCTGACGCTCTATCCACTGAGCCAAACCAGCTAGGGCTCTTTCCTCCTCTTTTAAGGAAACCAGTCCTACTGAATTAGGATTCCATCCTTATGATCTCATTTGAACTTAATTACCTTCTTAAAGGCCCTCTCAAATATAGTTACATTAAGGGTTAGGGCTTCAAGACAGGAATTTTGGAGGACACAATTCAGTCCACAATAGAACTCAAATGTAACTCCAGAGCCTGGTCTACAGTCCCTGAGGCTGATTTGATTACCATCCTGTTTTCTGCTGGAACATATACTCTAAACCCAATCTGAAGATCCCTGACAAGAACCAAGGTTTCACAATCCTACTCCTAGATATATCCAATAGAAATGTGCACAAATGTTCACCCTTAGTACACCATAAGTGTCTATAGACGCAAACGGGATGGTTGCCGTTTTGGACGCGTGGCAGGTTCACCAAAAGATTTGTGCAAGAATATTTATAATAGCACTAATCCAACGGTCCACCAACAATAGAGGAATAAACTGAGGTCAGTCACACAGTGAAATACTCTATAGCAAATATAATAAGCACTCCATATATATATACACAATGGATTAATAAACTACATCCACACATGGATTAATTTCATAAATACACTATTAAGCTAAAGAAGCTAATGAGTGCATATGGTATGACTCAATTTATATAAAGTTCAAAAAGAAACAAAAAACAAACAAAAACAAAACAAAACCCAAAAGAAATGGTGTAGAAGTCAGGATAGTAGTTACTCTTAGGCAGAGCAGTGTCGAGGTATGAGTAGGTGGCAATATGAGGGACTTCCTGGTTGCTGGTAATATTCTACTGCTTGTTCTGAATGCTGCTCTGTTCACCTTGTAAAAATTAATTGAACTGAATTTTTATGATTAGTATACTTAGGTAAAATTTTAAAAGAAAAAACATTTAATTAAAAAATGTGAATTACTTCAGTAACATTTTAAAAATATAGTATTAAATTATACACTTACAAGAGTAGCTAAGCCATCTACTCATATGTGGCTCTGAGAGAAGCTTTTTTAAATATCTAAAATAAGCTTTTGCTCTGACTAAGATGTGTCTCCAAGACTGCTCTATGAGCACCCTGAACACATGGCAGCAGAAAAACTGTTTGCAAACACTATGATCTTTAGAGAAAAAGGGTTTACTACAAACCCAATATAAAAATATTTTGAGGTCTAAATCCTTTCTTGACTTCAGCATGGGCTTGTGTGTCCTTGGCAAAGTACTAAGACTGTTAGGATTTTTAGCTCAATAAAAGAGAAAACTTTCTAATAATTAGAGCTAATAAAAAAAAGAACACAGCTAGCTCATTGCATTGCATGACTTCTATCTCTGGAAATATTCAGGCAGAGGTTGTCAAGGAGGGAAGGTGCTGTGAAAATAACACATTTAGAATCTTATAGATTACTAGAGGCATGGTGCACAGAATTTGTGAACTGGTGGGGGGCGTGGCCTGTGGGGATCAGCCTGCTCATCCTGGTCAACCGAGCGGCTGTGGACCTGCCCTCTGAGAGACTGCTCCCTGGTCCAGCATCTTCCGTGGAGCCGGAGCACTTGCCTCTCCATGTGACCCGGTTGGGGCCAGGCCCAGGGACACTAGCACTGAGAGGCGGCGGAGTGGGCCTCAGTCCCACGAGGCCTATAGGCAGCCACGAACCTGCCTCCTAGCCTCCGGGGTCAGCTCTGAGAGCCCAGCGGCAGCGCTGCGCAGCCTGCAGGCGTCCAGAGGAGGAGGCAGGGAACGAGGAGGAGGAGGCTTGGGCGAGGAGGCGATGATTGCAGCCCCGGTTCCTGCCCGTTGGCCCGGGGTTTGCAGTGGGAGCAGCTGCTCATCCCAGTCAGCTGAGCGGCTGCTTCCACTGTGGTAGCACACTGACCACCAGGGGGCAGCTCCTGCGTTTAGCGTCTGCCTCCTGGTGGTCAGTGAGCGTCATAGAGACTGGTCGACTGATTGTTCTGCCGTTCGGTCGTTGGGCTTTTATTATATAGGACAAGAGGCCCGATGCACGAAATTCGTGCAAGAGTAGGCCTTCCTTTCCTTGGCTGCCAGCACCGGCTTCCCTCTGGCACCCGGGACCCAGGCTTCCCTCGCAGCCTGGGCTTTGACCAGAAGAACATCTGGTCTAATTAGCATATTATGCTTTTATTATTATAGATAGGATAGTCCCAACTCCTAGAGATTTGTTTCAAAATAATCAGGAGAGGAGATTGTAGGGAGATACAGATGATCCAAAGTGGCCACAAGTTAATTATCTGGTTATGGATAACAGGGTTTTGAACTATTCTCTTAATTTCTGAGTAAGTTTAAAATTTTCCATAATGAAGAAGTAGAAGGTTTGTACTCTATACTAAAACAACCTGGGTTTTCTCTTCTTATTTCTCTTCTAGTTTCCTTAGCAACATCATTTGATCTTACTGCTTTTGTAAGTTTCATGTATTGATGCTTAAAGTAAATTAAACACCTTTTCTTCAAACTTGTTCCTCCTCTCCTGTTTTATCTTATTGGCACCACTAATTTCATAGACACTTGGAAACCTGAAGTTACCTTTTACCACCAATGAGTCCCATCCACCTCCATTCCCCTCCATAATATTTCTAAAATGTCTCTTCTGCTGTTCTTCTGTGTTTCCCATTGGCCTGGTTCAGGTTTTCATGATTAGTCAGAAAGTTGTGACTTCTGAAATTACGTTTCATTTTCTTAAAAAGAATATTTATAAAATAAAAAACATTTTCTTTCTCTTAATAAAAAGCTACCACACATGACTTACCACATCTCTAAGATTTATAAGCAAACCACATCTATATTAGAGAGTTCACAGATGTAAAGCACTTAGTAAAGATCCTAGCATGTAATGGGACACACAAATCCTGGTTTTCTTCTTTCTCCATGCTCACCTTTTGGCATACTGGCTTCCTCGCTGAAGCTCTACAGATATTGCACAATACCCTATATTCTGTCCCTTTGCTATTTCTTCCACCTACACTGTACTTCCATCCTATCTCCCTGTGCCTAAAGCTAAACTGTCTTTTAACAGTCAGCTCAAACGTCATTTAACAACTTCAGCAACTATGCTTACTTAGGAACAGAGAGACCAAAGTTAGGCACTCAGAGACACGGTCCTATTTCAGGCTTAGGAATACAAACAACACTACATCTTGCCTAAGGAAGAATGTAGAACAGGCAGCTATAAACAGGGAATTGGGAGTTCTGTGTGGTTTTTGCCTTTTAGTCTCACATAAGAAACTAGCAAACATAATTGTGCTCCAAATTCTCCTAAACCAAATATATAAACCGAATCAATCAGGTTATCAACATGTTTCTTCATTTATTGTTCTTTAGAGGCATCTCAGTATTCCTTTAAATAATGAGTTCCCCTGCTGCATTTAAATATAATTACAAAACCTCAATTAGCCATAATTTTATCATGCACATTATTATGTAAAGTACAGTACACTAATACAAAACTAGATGTAAGCTATAAAAAAAACAAAGTATCAGTGGTTCAAAATACTCTTAATTTCCTATATGTATTGGTAAACCATGAGTCAAAATTTCAAATGTTCAATTTTACTTAGACAACTCAATTGATATTACATTAAAAAGACAATTAATACACCAAGCTCCTCCATGCTTACTAAGGTTAGTACTGTCGTATTATTTCTCCTAAGAGACTGCCTGCTAACCACTCTGATTTCGTAACTAGCCCTACATGGTAAGCTCCTTTTCACTGTTCAAGTTCTATTTCAGTCACCCCTCTTTGTAACCTGTCCCCCCTTCTCTACCATCTGGTAATTGCTCCCTCTGTGTTCTAAAAGCACTTCATACACACTTCTATTATGCCACCAATCACCCTGTTTACATTCCTGTCTCTCTCTAGCTCTCCCAGACCACCCCTTCCTCCCAACTAAATTGTGAAATGCAGGAGGAAAAGAAACACATGATAGGTACTGAACGGTGGTTAACAGCAGACTCTGAAACCAAACAGCTGAGCTTGGAATCCCATTCTGCTGCCTCCCAGCAATATGACCTCAAATATATTCTGACTTTAAGCCTCAGTTTCCTTATATACAAAAGGAGGATACTAATTACACCTCTACCTCACAGTGCTGTGATCAGGATTACATGAAATAATAAAAAGCTCGTAGCATCCTTCGCTTCTCAGCTTCTTCCTGACAAGGCAATTTAAAGAAGTGTTAAGCACACACATTTTAGAGTCAGTACTTGGTTTTGAATTTTGGTTCTAACACTTACTAGCTTTGAGACCCTGGGCAAACTATTTGGACTTTAAAAGCCTCAGTTTATTCATCTGTAGAAGGTAGTTATTATAAGGACTAGAGATATAGGCGGGGGGGGGGGGGGGGGGCGGGGGGAACCTCAGCCCAGCCTGCACCCTCTTCCAATCTGGGACCCCACAGGGGATGTCTGCCAGTTTAGGCCCAATCCCATAGGGATCCCTGCGGGATCGGGCCTAAACCAACGGTTGGACATCCCTCTCACAATCCAGGACCACTGGCTCCTAACTGCTTGCTTGCCTGGCTGCCTGATGGCCCCTAACCATTCTGCATGCCTGCCTGATGGCCCCTAACCCCTCTGCCTGCCTGCCTTGCCCCTAATAACCACTCACCTGCCTGCCTGATTGCCCCTAACCACTCTGCCTGCCTGCCTGATCTCCCCTAACCACTTGCCTGCCTGCCTGATCACCCCTAACTGCTCGCCTTCCAGCCTGATCGCCCCTAACCGCCTCTGCCTCGGCCCCTGCCACCACGGCTTTGTCTGGAAATACATCCAGAATGACATCCGGAAGGTCGTTTGGCTGTCTGGTCTAATTAGCATATTATGGTTTTATTATTATAGATTAGATGAGAAAGTTCATATAAGCATTTGGTACAGTGGGGTACTCTAGAAATATTTCCTATCACACTTTCCATTTATCTATTTTGAGGCTGGTCTCCTAGAGACATGTTAGGCAGCAAATGCCTTCCCTTCCACAAAGAATCGTTTCAGAACTCAGCATTCACCATGTATGATGCTCAAGGTTATAGCTGTCTGTCTTCCTCAGATTTCAGATGCCACATGGGCATAATTTCAGTCACCATACTAGTTAATTTTTAAAAATTGTGTTCTTTGTGAGGATATCAAATTAACAATAGGCAATATGCCTCCCTGCCCTAATTATCACCTTACTACCTGAGCCATTAAGCTTTATAACTAAGGATTACATTAAACTGAATATTAAGAAACTGACTTACAGAAACCAATGAAGAATTGTTCTATTTACGGAATTCCTTGGTGTGCACTATGCTGACAAAGTCCATACTTGGGAGAATGATTTTAATTTCTGTACTCCTAAGGAGAAAAAGTATTCCACAATAGTTATTAAACTAAGAACAAAGATAGCAAATACTGCTACAAAAAACCTCACCCCAACTCTCTCATATATCCTCTAATTAATAAGAAATGTCCACTTTTATCTAAACTCCTAATTCTGCATAGAATAATCAATATCTAAAATGCTTCACAATTTTCTGAAGTGGTTTTATATGAACGCTGAACAAAAGAGTGATAAGAGGGCTGCAGGTCCTCATAACAGAACTTAATAGCTGGTGACTCAAAGGTGAGTCAATGTTAACTGATATCCTGTGCACTAGAGATAAAGTATCAAATGAGTTGCTTAGGGAACCAAAGTAATTCTCTTGACCATATCTGATAAATCTCATATCTCTTTATTTTCAGCATGACCCAATCACATGAGGGCCTCTGACCATAGCCTATGATCAATTAAATTAAAATTCTCAGTTTTCACAAAATTAAAAAAAAAATAGAGGGGAGGGGGGACAGAACCATGAGAACTGTCTTCAAATCCAAATTCCTTCTATTCCTCTTTACCAGCTCCTCCAACACATGCCTTTAAATAAGTGAATATAAAAATTGCCACTTTATACAGTTCTGTAAATTACATACTTTCATATACACTCCCGATTCTCATGACTCATAACAATGTACAGACTTATTTTATATATGAAGAAACTAAGAGGAAGTTGAAGTGGCTTTCCATGATCACATAGTAAGTAGCACAGTCAAACTGCACTGAAATACTCAACCCTGTGCTCCTTACAACACCAAGATATACAAGCAATACTATAAATCAACTGAAAATTATGTATCTAATATTTATGAAAGCTGACTTGGCAAGTGAGGCAACAGGAGCACCTCTTTTACATATAGTAAAAGTAAGTAAATTTCAAGTTAGACCAGTTCTCAAATACTTTGTTCACAGAATCCCTATACATTTTTAGAAAGTAGTAAGGACTCCAAAGAGCCATTGTTTATTTGGGTTATTATCACTAGAGGCCCCGTGCATGAAATTCGTGAACTTGGGGGGGGAGCGATGGTGGTGGGGAAGGAAGTACCTCAGCCTGGCCTGCACCCTCTGGGGGGTGGGGGGGGGGAGGGAAGGAGTCCCTTAGCCTGGCCTGCACCCTCTCGCAGTCCAGGAACCCTTGGGGGGAGCGTTTGAATGACAGGGGGAGTGGGCCTAAGCAGGCAGTCGGATATCCTTAGTGCTGCCGCAGGGGCAGGAGAGGCTCCCACCACTGCCACTGCGCTTGCCAGCCGTGAGCCTGACTTCTGGCTGAGTGGCACTCCCCCTGTGGGAGCACACTGACCACCAGGGGGCAGCTCCTGCATTGAGCGTCTGCCCCCTGGTGGTCAGTGCGTGTCATAACAACTGGTCAAATGGTTAGACACTTAGCATATTAGGCTTTTATATATAGAAATATTTACCACATTAGAAATTTTAAGTGATAGCACTTTTAAACATAATAACAACACAAGCTCACATCCCATTAGCCACCAGGATGATAATATAATTACACATCATGTAACTCCTGGAAAACTCCATCATACACTTGTGAAAGAATGAAAAGGCAAATAATATTTTTGTATAATTATGAGAATAGTTTTGACTTGGTAGACACCCATAGCCCAAGGGTCTTGGAGATCCAACAGAATACCCAAGCCACACTTTTGGAAACCATTGACTTAGACAGTACCAAGTCTTAGCTATGGCAATTCTTAAATTCAAAGTTGTAACCTATTATCTTACTTTAAGTATATCAGTTATTCCCTCTCAGCACTAATTTTCTTTAGAACAGTGCCCAGTGACAAAGACGATATCAAACATTTACTCAGTAAACGGAATCTCTTCTGAAGTCGAGTGGATGGAGGAAGAGAAAGCATCTTAAGACAAAATTATTACCTCCCTACTATGGTAAAGATAATATATATATATATTTATACATATATATTATATATAAAGTATATAATACAGAGGACTGGTCTTCTAAAGCCAGTTAAATGTACCAAATGGATAAGAACTCCATTCTGGGTATTAGGTAAGGAACAGCAAAAGATCTGAGCAAGAGAAATGAGAAAAAGCTAATACTTTAACTGTCCAGCTTTCTCCTCTAGCCAAATAAAAGTAACAAAGCATCTTCTGAAGTTAAATGATTTTTAATTTTATCTGTACTAGTCTCTCTGCTTCTCTTAGTTTTTAATTACCTAAAGTCAAACTTATTAAACGGAAATATTTTAAAGATGATTTATACCTGCATATTTGCAAAAAATTCCTGCATTTGACCTATGCAAAAGTAAAAGAGAAGTGAATAACACCACCTTACATTTACATAATTATTTTCTCTAAGAAATTTAACAGCTTTAGATTTTTACTCAGTCTCAAAAATAATAAGTTGAACAATTTGTCCAAGGATACAATAAATCAACAAATCAATAGTAATTCCAGGAATAAAGCTGAAGTTCCTCATGATATAATCCTATTGTTTCAGGGCAAGAGACTGAATTACTTTCAAGAGAAACCTTAAGAGCATAGAGTATCCCCAAGGCTCCAACAATTATTATCATAGAGTCTGTTGACTGACAGGAATCTTGGAATAACTGAGTCCAAATTCTAACTCTATAGTATTAAAAATTTCAAATATTTTGAGTAATTTATCTAAATATTTTAAGTAAGCAATTTACTAAAAAATGGCCTATAATTTAGACACATAATTTGGCTACAAACATATTTTAAATACTTCCATGTCAAGAGTTTGCAATTCTAGTCCTGATTAAAATCTAAAGCTAAATACTGAGAACTGATAACCTTTTCAAATATTAAAATAAACCAGACATCACCTGTCCTAAATTTCACAGAAAATATTGTATTTAATGGTGAGGACAAAGTAAGATTTTCAATGCATTATAGAAATACAATGAAATTAACTATAATAGAATAACTCTTACTTTAGCCTCAGCAAGTTTCACAGAACTAAAAGCTTTGAATTATTTACTTGTTTGACTAAGTGACTAAGAGCTAGCAAGACTGTGTAGTCAGCAACCACAATCATCCCTAGTAATGAGTATGTGTATAATCTGGCATTCAGGAACAACTGATTACTGTGTGCAAATTGGCATGTAACACAAACAGCAGATACACTATTTTGTAGATATTGATATCTGTATGAAATAGTTATATCTAAGAACAATACAGGTGCTTTTCAAAATATATTCTTGTAGCCAGCTACTAAACAGAAATTATATCTCCGTTATTGCTATTTAAGGTTTTACAGAAAAAAAATAGTAGTCACTTATACAGATTATATAGGTAGAATATAGAGTTGATCCTAAAAGAAATACCAATATGTAAATATACTTAGGTCACACATACCTGCTCTAAATGGCATATACCTTACCAACAAACCAAGTACACCTAACAGGTACCTAATAAAAAATAATAAACTCAACGAAAACACTTTTTTTCTGTGCTAATCACAGCATTTTTATTTTTAAGTACATACCATCAAGAACTAATTATGCTGGGAAGAGGGAAATTTTCTAGCTCTTTTACCAATATAATGCAAATCAAAGCACAGACATTTCAGTACTCCATCCACCATATCATCAGCTTCATTCTCCATACAATTCATGAAGAAATCATGGGCATAAATACCCAATGTCCATGATTAGATAAAAAAGAAATACATTCCGCTGATTACATAAAAATTGGTAATCATGCACCAGACCAGTGAAAATAAGTTTTATTGTTATTCTATACTAGTCCAAGGAAAATATTACCTACAGTTTATCGATACTGACCTTTCCTAGGGATGTGGAATTTAAAATCAAGGCTCCTGGAGTGTCAGAGAAGGTTGCAAACACATTCATGTTTTGTTTTTGCTTGTGTGTGGAAATGAGAGGAGGGGAGAAGGCCTTCATAGGTGCCGCACAGACCTTGAAGTTAGCATTGTCAACCATGGGAGTCTTCAATCAGCATGTGTGTGTGCACGTGTGTAGGGGGAGGACACTCCTCTTCAGTACTCATTTTACAATGAGAATTGTATTACATACCATCAACCTGTCTTTATGACAACCATAAACCATTAAAAGGTTAAATAAGTCCAGCCAGTGTGGCTCAGTGGTTGAGCATCCAACCCTGAACTAAGAGATCTCAGGTTTGATTCCTGGTCAGGACACATGCCTGGGTTTCGGGCTTCCTCCTTGGTGGGGGCCGTGCAGGAGGCAGCCAATTGATGTTTCTATTTCTCTCCCTCTGCCTTCCTCTCTCTCTCTAAAATCAATAAAAACATATCTTTAAAAAATAGGTTAAATAAGATATGTTTCCTCTCTCTCTCTAAAATCAATAAAAACATATCTTAAAATATGTTGCATATATTTTGTTTAAGAAATTTAAAGAATATGAGTATTCTTTAGATAGCCTGAACTCAAAGTCCCAGTACTTCAGTTATGTGGCTGAATTCACTTTGTGAAAATTTATCAATTGTACACTTGGGATTCGGGTATTTTCTGTATATACACACACAAACACACATGCACATGCATATATATTATAGACCAATAAAAAGCTTGGGGGGCGGGGAACTGCACATAAAGTACTAATGTGTTTTATAGTTGAAAGGTGATATTTAGGTAGGGACCTGAAAAGTGGTGGAGTGAGCTCCTTGGCTATCTGCGGGAAAACATTCGTAAAGAAGGACTAGCAAAGGCCTTGTGATGGGTGCATACTTGGAGTGTGAGAACAGCCAAGGAGACCAGAATAGACTGAGAGGAAGAGTATAGAAGACAACATCAGAGAAAGAGAGACTACAATGGCCAGGAATGGAGTAAAGCAGTGAATGAATTAGACTCATACATATTGCCAGAGGAATGTCCATGTTATACTTACAGACCCATTTTGGAGGGTCACATTTATATTATGTTCCCCCACTTTATTATTAAGGAGAAAGGAAGGAGGAGATGGAGAGAGTGGGATAGAGGGAGAGGCACCTCCTATATATATAAGAAGCTTGTGTATATATGTGTTTCAGAGTAGAGTTAAGTGTACACCTCAGACTTAGCATTTTCAGGGGGATAAAAGTAAAAAGGGGAGGACTACATTTTTAACTTCTTTATGCTCCTAAATATTATTATAAAATTTGCAAAAACCTAACCAAAAAAATATAAAAACTAAAAAATCTGAAAAGAAAAAACCTAGTATCTACACAAAGATATAGGTAGAAAAATGTTTATGGTATCATTATTTATATTAACGAGAAACTGAAAAACAATCAACAAGAAATTGGTTAACTTATGGTATTTCTGATCAATGTAATTCTAAGTACCTATTAAAACAAATGAAGTAGGTATATTTAGAAAACCCAAGATATAGTTTTAAAAAAAAGCAATACACACACACACACACACACACACGTATGTATATATATGCAAATGAGGTCAGGACTCTGGAACGGTCATGACCAGCTCAGTAGGAGGGGCTGGGCGCAACCCGAGCCTGAGAAAACACGCAGGTGTGGCCTGGAGCCTGAGAGATCAACACAGAGGGGTGCCTGCTCTGAGCCTCCACAGCGCAGCTGGGGGCAGGCCCCCAGCGGACACACACACACACACACACACACGCACGGGGCGCCTGCTCTGAGCCTCCACAGCGCAGCTGGGGGCAGGCCCCCAGCGGACACACACACACACAGGGCACTTGCTCTGAGCCTCCACGGCTTAGGCCCGCCCACGGGGAGCGGGCCTAAGCCATCAGTAGGACATCCTCTGAGGGTTCCCGGACTGTGAGTGGGGGCAGGCTGGGCTGAGGGACCCCTCCTGCCTCTCCCCCACCGTGCACAAATTTTATGCACCGGGCCTCTAGTACTAACATAAAAAGCAAGGTACCAACTATGATTCTGTTCTTATAAATTTAATAAATTAGAATACATTTAGAAAAAACATGGATGCACAGTCTCTAAATTTAAGTTTCCTTTAAAGACATTACAAGAGAGTTTTCACTTTAATATTTCATATTTTCTAACTGAATTTTTTCAATGAGCTTATCACTCATTGAAAGGGAAACATTTGTAATACATTACCTAGGCTAATGTCTAACATCTATCTAGTAAAGTGTCTGAAATATCTCTAGAAAAATGTCTGGCAAATGTAGCATAATCAATAAATATGTATATTCAATTAGGTACTAAAGGAAAGATACATTTATTCAGTAGGTTTCATATATGAGACATTTATTACACCCTTTTAGATAGGTATTTCCATTTTATAGATATGGACACTTAGACTAAGGGAAGATAAGGCCTTAATAGTGCTGAAATCAGGTACACATTACTCCAAAGCTCTATTACCAGAATAGACAACTTAAGTACTTCTCTATAGCCTTAACCCAAAAGAATGAAGTTGTTCTCTAGTACTGGCAGTCTCTACTTGGCACCTGCAGTTCTATTTATCTGAAGGTAAATAATTAACACACCTCATTCTTCCCTGGTACAAATACAATAAGCATGTGGTTTTATGCCAGTCTTAGCAATGTGGCAAGAGAGATTTAAAAACTACTCTGTAAAACTTCTGCCAATGACCAGGTAGTTGCTTTACGACTTCCCAATGAAATGTGATGTGCTCTGATGCCATGCCAAAGTTGTTAGTTCCTGACTCTAGGAAAGAACAAAGGAATGTTTTAACAGCACTGGTTTCCTGGTGACATTGTTCTGAGAAAATAAAGAATGTGATGGGAAGAAATGTTGGGTATTTAACTTCTAAACAAGGTATTTAGTGGTAGAAACTCCTACCAAACAACTGATTCATTATGTCTCAGCATGCGATTGGGAATCTTAATGGGGGAGTGGGCGTGACAGGTCACGCTTTTTGGGGCAGAGAGGTTTTATTAGAAATGCCTGAGCTACACAAATCCTGTATACATTCTATAAAGACCAGCAAAATTATGAAGAGCCTAGTTTTTAGTTTAGCATGTTAGCGTTAGTTAGATGTATGGCAACAAAGTTGAATCCTTCTGTCTCTGTTTACTACTCAACCTGGAGTCTAAGAACCCTAGACAGATTTTGAGGGGACTATAAATTTCATGAAATTAAATGAAAACTTCATTATGCATTTTCCTGCAGAGTACCCAGTTTTCATTAGCTTTTCAAAAAGAAAGAACTCTCAAAAAAAGGTTTAAGAGTACCTTTCATCATATATGCATATGTGCTACTTTTTTGGTAGGCATTTAAGCACAATTTTTTGTTTTAGGGTTTTATTAAAGAGTTTAGAGCAAGGGTTAGCAAACCTTTTTTATAAAGGGCCAGATATTTTAGAATCTGTGGATCCATATGGTCTGTCTCATATTCTTCTTCTCTTTTAAACAACTTTAAATGTAAAAGTTTAAAAATGTAAAAATAATTCTTAACTCGTGGTCCTAACACCAGCTTGTGTGCAAACTCCTATTTCTGCAGAAATAAGACGGCATGGGCTTTGGGAGTCTAGATCTTTTTTTTTTTTTTTTTTTGAGACTTTCAGAAAGTCACTTACCTCTTATAGGCCTCAAGTTTCCACATTTGTAAAAATAAACAACCTCTCCTGCACAGTAGTTTTAACTATTAAGATAATAAGTGCATGGAACTGCCCACACCATATCCGGCATATAGTTAGAAACTGATTTTATTATCTTTGCCTCTGCCTTATACAATAGACTAGAGACCCGGTGCACGACATTTGTGCACTGAGGGGCGGGGGTCTCCTCAGCCCAGCCTGGCCCTCTCACAATCCGGGACTCTTGGGGGATGTCCGCCTGCCAGCAGGCGAACATCCCTCTTGCAGTCTGGGACCCCTTGCTACTTACCACTAGCCTGCAGTGGAGGCTGTGCTTGCCAGTCATGAGCCCGGTTTCTGGCTGAGCAGTGCTCCCCTTGTCGGAGTGCACTGACCACCAGGGGGCAGCTCCTGCATCGAGCGTCTGCCCTCTGGTGGCCAGTGCACATCATAGCAACCGGTCCTTCCACCATTCAGTCGATTTGCATATTAGCCTTTTATTATATAGGATCATTAGTAATATTTGTTAGTCAATATTAAGTGTTTGACCAGGCATGTTCCTCCAATACAACTGACTTTATAATAATCTCCTTTGGCTATTTTCAGAAACAAACGGCTTTTTTGGAAAGCCAACAGACCTGTATATTGCTGATTAGAAACTAACAGTCTCCTCATAATTATTCTCCCTTCAATGTGTAAATCAAATTTCTAAAGCAAAGATTTAGTTGATCAATTCATTATTTCCCATCTAAATGTTTTAAATGCCTAAATCACAATAATTCAAACCAGCTTCAAGAAAACCCAACATGCAAGAAGTAAAACCAGCAATAAAAATTTATTGGATTATATTTAGGCACCAAAGAACCTAAGGTCACAAAATATTATACCACACATAGTAAGCAGGTGGTTTGCCTTAGCAGAGATACTGATCCCTGCTCTTCCTGTTTCTCATATATCTGAAGGTCTTAAATATATCCAAATGCCATTTTAATGAGCTTTAATTGTTTGTTTTCCCCAGAAAGACTAACCATATTGAAAGCATGAACTGTGCTGTAACCATTTTTATCACCTTCACCATACCTGCCCCAACACTAGGCATTGGTAGTCTTCAGGAAGTAGCTAATGAAAATAAATGACTTTTAAAAACAACTTCAGCCTGGCTGGTGTGGCTCAGTGGTTGAACTTCGACCTATGAACCAGGAGGTCATGGTTCGATTCCTGGTCAGGGCACATGCCCAAGTTTCAGGCTCGATCCCCAGTAGAGATGTGCAGAAAGCAGCTGATCAATGTTTCTCTCTCACTGATGTTTCTATCTCTCTATCCCCCTCTCTAAAATTCAATAAAAATATATTTAAAAATAAATAAGTAAATAAAAATGCTCAATGCAAGTCCCTTCAAAAATATAATGTTTAAAGAGGAGTAAAAATTATAACTGATTAGCAACAGTAATGCTCTCCATTTAGTAAGAGTCTCAAGTTTATATGAAGATAGGCCAGGCAAGTACCATAGTAAGCAGGTGGGAACTATAAACTACTAGAGGCCCGGTGCACAAAAATTTGTGCACTTGGGGGGGGGGTCC